GTTGACTACGTGGAAGTACAGCGACATAGCCATTACGCTAACTTCTGGTCCCCAGAACTGTCATTTTTAATGGCTGGGGTTAGTATTCTATTCTGAGATATACCATATTTTCCTTTGCCATATTTTCTTTGACATTTAAGTTGTTTCCAATTTTTCACCACTATAAATAACACTAATTTAAAAAGAAACCTCTCTGCATATTTTGTATGTTTATTTTTGGGAGTGTAAATTTTCAGAAATGAAATCACAGGGTCAAAATGTGAGCTGTATTAGACTTGAAAGAGCCAGAGAAGATCCGGGCATATGTTAGGCTAGTGGCCCTGAGGTTACCTCAGGGCAAACCACTCAGTATTATCTAGGCTACTCTAGTTCTAGTCAGCTCAGCCACGTTGGGCATCTAGAGGTTGGCATGGATCTACGGGATAAAGAAAGTTACTCATAAAGTAGCTGTTGTCAGCTTCATATTGTTTCTGGAGAAACTGGTGAACGCCATGTAAATAAGATAGGGATCCTCCATATACAACCTCTAATATACATGTGCATGCATGCACATAACAGGCAGCTCACGTGCATAGCACTAAGTGATAAATGTGTAGCCTGGGTGAAAATGTACATCCCTTAACTGTGCCTAACTGACCACCTTGGGTGGCAATAAGTAATCAACATCCACTTCCTGCCATATTTAAACTGACCCTAAGTAATACGCAGTCCTTCTATCTCCTCTAAAATCTTATGGTGATCAGGTTCTAAGTATCAAATACTATATTCTTCAACTGAAAACGTTATTTGTAGTTGTATTTTCCTTTTTCATATTTATATTAATAACATAAGATATCCTACGTTGCCTATATGTTTATTTTACTTTGCAGGCTCCCACTGGATCCTCCTTTCTGCTGACAGTGAGGGCTTTATCCCATTAATTTTCACGGCTGCACAGGAAATAATCATCAGAGATGGCAGCCTGTCCAGGTCAGCTGTCTTCAATGACTCCCTTTCTCACAGTCTGGATCCTGTTTCTTCTAAAGTCTTAAGAGACCTAACTGCCCAAAGTTCAGGTACCACTGGCCGTTCTCCTATGTAGACAGTTTTGTAGAATATCTTCTGCATAGCTTTTCAGATGAGACCATGCAAGCAAGGTCTGCTTTCCACTGTGGACTGTCACCAGTGCAGTTTACGCCATCACTTGGAGACAGTGCTTGTCTTAGTGGTTCTACCTCTTTTTCCCTTTCTCCTGGGCTGAGACCCACTGCTCTGTACCAGAGCTCAGTCTTTGTTACATGGCTCAGAAAGTGGTTGTTGATGTATTCGTGGATCTGTGGTTTTGTCTAAGGGCAGAATTCCCAGAACAAAACAATGGTGTGGTACCATATGGATTGTGTTTTATGGTTTCTCTGAGACTTTCTGTTCCTTGCCCAAAGCTGTGTTAAAGCTGTCTTAGGAGCACTTAGAAGATACCTCTGCATTGTTACAGATCTTTCTCTTGGCTTGAAGATGAGAGTAAGGAGCACTGCTGGAGAGCATATGCTCCAGCATATCTTATAAAATCTCAAACCACCAGAAATCAGTAGAACTAAAGGAAGACAAAAACAATTGACTTGATTCCAGGGCTACCTGGAAAAGAAAGAGTTCTGAAGTTAGCCAGACCTCCCAGGATTTAAACCTAACCCTTGTGGCTTTAAAAACATTATGACCAACAAAGGTCAAGATACCTCTAAAAAATGTAAAAACTGGCCCTGGACAAGTTATGAATGAAATATGATTTGGCCCTTCTGGACTTCCTGAACTTGTAATGATCTTATTATTACAATCTCAAGCACAGACCAGGTCCAAAGCATGATACTGTGCTACTGTCACTCATAATTTTCTTCCAGAAATACTTTCTAAAAAATAAATAATAAAAATGATCTATTTTTCTCTCAGTAGTCAACTCTGTTGATTTGTCACTTTAATTTTAGTGTGTTTGTTTTTCCTTCTTGCAAGTTCTAAAAACCAGCATAGAATCTGGAGAGGAAGTATTTTAAAAAGTTGGAAATTTCACTGAATCTTGGTTCTAACAGGTACCAGATTATCATACTTATTAGCTAAAATATCAGGAAAGAGCTCTGATTCCCTTCAGATGAACACACCGCTTCTCGCTGCCTCCAGACAGAATCACCAGTTTCAATGATGCGGCATAACAAAGTGATCAGTGCGTGGCTAGATAGAGCACATCTGCAGGTACATTGTCTCAGCCTTCGCTGTGCCATTAGTGCATATGCTTCCCCCCACCCCTACACTTTCTTTTAAAATTATCTGGAAAGAAGATGTTTTGTGCCCTTGGGGACTCCTGTATGTTACAGTTTATGAAGATGGAGCTTGGCTAGGAAGGAAGCAAGGGCCCATTTTGTGGTTCAAATGCATCAGACAGCTGCTGGGGTAATGGAAGTGGAGGCTACTTGTCTGTTATCAGCTGCCGGAGAGTGGCAGCTGAGGACAGTCTGAGGGTTGGCTCCATTTGCGAAGAGAGTGTCTGGGGTGTGATGAAACCACAACTATTGCAGAGGGAAACTAGGGAGCCCTCAATTAAGAGCAGTGTGGGTGGCTCAGGATGTATGTTATAATCACATTTCTCAAGCCCAAATCCTTCAATAAAATCACTAATGGTGGTTGTGACCATTTTTAATATTTTGGTGGTGTTCTTTTTGGGTTATTTCCAGTATAGAGAAATGTTCTTGATTTTATATCTGTGTGTTGTCTTTGTATTTCTTCTTCTGGAAGGCAGTCCAGAATTTGATTGTTTCTTTATAACAAATCTCATTCTGTGACAACTCTCATACAAAAGATGTTTCTTTGGCCTCCGTTATTATTATAGTCATTGAAATGATAGAAGATAATTAAGTTTTTATTGACTTTGGAGACAGGGAGAGGAGAGCTAAATTCCTTAAATTATTATTTAATGTTATATTGAAAATATTTTACAGAAAGAGAATTATTATGTACAAATCCCATTCTGCATCCAGATGTTTTTCTTTGCACCCAAGTTCTTCTAAATTTTGAATGAGTGATACTTGATATATGCCGTATGTGTGTCTATATATACACATGTACATATATGCACAGACCTATATGTATACACACTCACATACACATACATATATATTTGATATGTGCCATATATGCATATACATATACACACACATAGAGTATAGGGAGGCTTAATAATAAAATGAAACACTCGGGACCAGCAGGTGACATAGTGGTAACATCACTGAACTCCTACATGGCCAACCACGGTTTGAATCTCAGACTGGGTAGCTTGAAAATTAAGCTAGGTTTAAGTGTGTACGTGCCCAAGATCCCAGGAAGAGAATGGAGGAGAAGGGATGGTGGCATGGCCATCCCCGTTGTGGGGAGATTTCTCACTTTCCTTCTCACTGACTCTGTCTCTCTCTAGTGAGCACACATGCCCTAATGGAAAAATCTCTTTAAAAAAATAAATAAAATAAAACACACACCACCTAACTTCAGCTTAAGAACCAGAATATTACCAGAAATAGTTTAACTTCCCTGTATATCCCTCTTTAATCCTGTCTCCATAGCTCCATTCCAGATTTAACTAGTATCTTCATTGTCATACTTATCATTTTTTCAATCCTTTTTTTTCCTTTTAAAAAAAGAGTTTCAGGGGGCATAGTAGTTAAGGTGTTGGACTCCCACATGGCCAACCTCAGTTTGAGCCCTGGATGTGGTAGTTTGAAAATCACCCCAGTATTTTTGTTTTTCCTTCTTGCAAGTTCTAAAAACCAGCATAGAATCTGGAGAGGAAATATTTTAAAAAGTTGGAAATTTCACTGAATGTTGGTTCTAACAGGTACCAGTTTATTATACTTATTAGGCTAAAATATCATACTTATTAGGCTAAAATATTTGGGCACACACGCACACGTGTGTGCCCAAAATCCTGAAAGGAGAATGGAAGAGAAGGGATTGTGGCATGGCCATCTTCCTGGGAGTGATTTCTCACTTTCCCTCTCCCCATCTCTCTCTAGCAACCACACAGAGCCCTGTGGCAAAAACCTAAAAAATATAATAAATAAATAAGTAAATATTTCAGGGCCAGGTGGTAGCACAGCAGTAATGCAGCTGGATTCACATGGGGAAAGTCCTGGGTTGGAATCTCAGGACCTCACTGAGCCTGCTGTTTGTGGTATTAAGACCCTGTCAGAGGTACATCTCTGTCTGTCATGGAAGAAAAAGATGAATAAACTTTACCACCAAAAATAAATAAATAAAAAGAATTTCACCACCATATACTAGGAACTTTAAAATAACTCATGGAAAATGTATTTTGAAAAAAATTAAACATGGACTTCAAAATTTTTGTACCTAAATTAACTTATATTTTAATTCCATTTTTCCACAAACTTTTTGAAATCTCCTATATGCATTGACCTAAACAGTATAACATTTGTTTTTGCTTGATTTTGAGCTTTATATAAATGGTATTATATTGTATATAGTTTTCTGTGACTTGCTTCTATTCAGTCGATTTTAAGATTCATCCTTGCTGTGTGTGTGTGTGTGTGTGTGTGTGTGTTCTGTTACTTTCACTGTTTTGAATTGCAAATGGTTATCCATATTCCCACTATAGACATTCAGGTTGTTTTATGGTTTTGTTTTTAAAATTACAAGCAATATTGCTTTGAATATTCTTGTAAATGTCTCGTGATGCAAGTGTTTGAAAAGTCTAAGATCTTTTACCTGGAAATGCTATAGTTGGATCACAGAGTGTATATAAGATTAACTTTATGAGATAATACCAAATTATGTTCTAAGGTGGTTAGATCATGTTTTACTCACAAAACTGTTAATAGTGTATCAGAGCTCCTAGCTGCATACTCAGTGCTTCTTAATTTTTTTTTTTTTTTTGGAGAGGTTTTTGCTTGCCAGACAGAGAGAGACAGAGAGACAGTAAGCGAGAAATCACCCCCCAGAGGGGATGGTCACTCCGCAATCCCTTCTCCTCCACTCTCCTCTCGGGATCTTGGGCACGCACGCACACACGCCCGGCGTGAGTTTAAAGCCACCGGGTCCGGGACTCGAACCACGGTCGACTACGTGGGAGTCCAGCGACATAGCCATTACACTAACTGCCGGCCCCAGTGCTTCTTAATTTTTGACAGTCTAGTAGTCTTAGGTGTTATCTTTCTGTGATCTCATTTTTTACTTTCAGACCAGCAATGGGTATTTAAGGATTATTTCATATGTTTATTGGCCATTTGAGTTTTCTTTTGCAAAATGCCTGTTTGTGTCATTTACTCAAATATGCATGTCATTTGTCTATTAGGTGATCTTTTTCATGTTGAGTTGGGAGGATTCTTTATATATTCTTTTTTGTTTTTAATTAAAAAATATTTTTGGAGAGGTTTTTGCTATACAGCGCGTGTGCTTGCCAGAAAGACAGAGAGAAACAGAGAGACAGAAAGCGAGAAATCACCCCCAGGGGGGATGGGCACACACACATACGCACCTGGTGTGAGTTTAAGCCACCGTGTCCTGGACTCGAACCATGGTTGACTACATGGGAGTCCAGCAACATAACGGTTATGCCAACTGCTGGTCCCGGATTCTTTATATATTCTAAATGTCATTAATATATGTTGCTAGTATCTTCATGAAGTTCATGATTTTTTCTTTCTTTTTTTTTTGTACAATCATTTTTAATTTTAATGAAATCACATTTACCCATCTTCCCTTTCATGGAAGTTTTATCTTTTGCATTTTTGTCTTTTTTTCCTCTTTACTCACGATAGAATGCATGCATGTGAGAGTGAGAGAGAGAGAGAGAGAGGTTGCACCCTCCACAGGTCTGGTCATGCTGGATTCCCCCTCTTTCAGTTCTCTAGCCCATCAGATCTTGAGTACTCTCCTGCATGCCTGGCATATCTCGGGCTGACCAGACCAGGAGTTGGAACAGTGGTCACCATGTGTGATCTGATGACCACTGTGCCAAGAAGCTGACTCCCATTCCTCCAACTTTTTTTTAAAGAATTATTTTATTTAATTTTATTCATTTATTCATTTGTTTTAATTTGACCAGAGAAACACACATACACACACAGAGAGAAAGACAGAGAAAGACAGACAGAGAGAGAGAGAGAGAGAGAGAGCAAGCAAGCCACCAGGTTCTGGACTCAAACCATGGTCGACCGTGTGGGAGTGTCCAGCACCTTAACCATCATGCTACCTGCTTGCCCCTCCCCTTTTTTTAAATTAAAAAACAAAAGCAACAAAGCACATAGGCTCACCAGAGTCAAAGAGAGAGGGAGAAGGAGAAAGCATTCCCCATGGGGAATGGTCACGCCTCAGTTCCCTCTCCATTACCCTCTCCTTCTGAGATTTTGGCATGCATGCACACATGCCTGGTGTGTTTTCAAGCAGCTGGGACTCAAATCACACAGTTGACCATACAGAATCCAGTTCCCTTAGCTACTAGGCCAGGGACTGACCCTTTCAACATATTTTTTTAAAATAATTATTTTATTTAACTTTATTTATTTTAATTTGACCAGAGAGAGACAGAGTGAGAAAGAGAGAGAAAGTGAGAAAGCAAGCTGCAAGGTGAGGGAATCAAACTATGGTTGGCCATATGGGAGTCCAGAGCCTTTAAACACCATGTCACCTGCTGGTCCCACCTTTCAACACTTTTTTTTTTTTTTGAGAGTTTATTTATTTATTTATTTTTGTTACAGGGTGCACGCGCTTACCAGAAAGGCGGAGAGAGACAGAGACAGAAAGCAAGAAATCACCTCCCAGGGGGAATGACCACACCGCAATCCTTTGTCCTCCATTCTCCTCTCATGATCTTGGGCATGCACGCACACATGCCCAATGTGAGTTTAAGCCACCATGGTGGTCTGGGATTCAAACTGTGGTCGACTACATGGGAGTCCAGCAATGTAGCCATTATGCCATTTGCTGGTCCCTCAACATATTTTTTAATCACTGGATATCTCTACCAATTTTGAAGTTAGGCCACCTTGGATTCTAGACCCCTTTCCATCATTAGCTAACCTTGAGTAAGTTAATCTCTCGAAGCCTGTTTCCTCATTTGACAGTGAGAATAATAACTACTTCCTAGTGCTGCAAGGGAGAAATGGGGTATCTCTGCAGCCATGGTATCTCCCTTTCTCTGAGATCTAGCCTTTGAGCCCCAGTGATGGGCCTCCTGCAGCTGCCTTTGTTCTGTAGAACCTGCTTCCACAACTGCACTCCCAGGAAGTATATGGAGAACACAGAATTTGGCATAAGCTTCTGACTTTACCGCATTGCCCAGGTTTTCAAAGCATTTTCATAACTTGATGGCATAGTAGAAACTTAACCTTGCCTCTGTCTTGCCAAGTATTGTCTCTGCACAGTCAATAATAAACTCTTCCAGGGTTGGCCCTGTGGTCTGGTGGTTAAGGGAGTTGTATTCCACACAGCCGACCACATGGTTCAAGTCCTGGCCCCAGGCCTTGAGAAACATGTTGCAGGACCAGCAGATGACATAGTGGTTAAGGCGCTGGACTCCCACATAGCTGACCATGGTTCAAGTCCTAGACCCAGTGGCTTAAAAATTGTTCTGGGTGTGTGTACATGCATGCGCAAAATCTCAGGAGGAGAAGGGATTGCAGCATGGCCATTCCCCCTGGGTGGGGGGGTGATTTCTTACTTTCCTTCTCACTATCTCTGTGTCTCTCTGGAAGTGCATGTGCCCTATGGCAAAAGATCTTAAAAACAAACAAACAAATAAAAACAAAAAACATTCTGAGTGTGTGGGCCTCAAATCCTAACCAGATGGAGAAAAGGAGGAAAAGAGATTGCAGTGTTACCACATCCCACTGTGGGTGTACTTTCTCCCTCTTCCTTGTCCTTTCCGGCAAGTACCCTTGCCAGTTGGAAACAGAGAGAAAAACTGTTCTCTCTTGTTTCCAGTAGTGTGTGTGTTTGTCTATATCTGTGCCTAGCAGGGAAGAGACAGGCAGGGCTTCCTTTTCTTTTCTTTTCTTTTTTTTTTTTTTTTTTGCTATAGGGCATGTGTGCTCGCCAGAAAGAGACAGAGAGACAGAAAGCGAGAAATCACCCCCCAGGGGGGATGGCTACAACGCAGTCCCTCCTCCTCCATTCTCCTCTCTGGATCTTGGGCACACACGCACACGTGTCCAGCGTGAGTTTAAGCCACCGGGTCCAGGACTCAAACTGCGGTCAACTACATGGGAGTCCAGGGAGATAGCCATTACGCTAACTGCTGGTCCCAGGGCTTTCTTTTAATAACTTCCGGAATAAAGAAATGCAGAGAAGATGAGCCCAGTTCTTTCTCTGTGCCCTGTGATCTTGAGGATCAGGTGCTCCTGTCAGTGCCACAAGGGCCAGAGATGAGGCATTAGCCAGACCAGGTCAGACCCTGTGCTCTCACTGAAACTGGGAGGTGAGGTCAGTTCATTCTTATCCTACAGTCTATGGAGGAAGGGAGATGATTAGAGCTTTGAGGAACACTTCATATTGGAGTGTGAGTCTGAGCTGTGAGCCTCGGGTCTCACACCTAACAGGTAGCTGAAGGTCTAAAAAGGAGGTGGAAGGGGCCAGCAGGTGATGTGGTGGTTAAGGCGCTGGATACCCCACATGGCTGATCACAGTTCAAGTCCTGGATCTGGTGGCTTGCTTTCTCACTTTACCCTTTTCTTTCTATGTGTCTCTTTCTGGTCAAATTAAAATAAATGAATGAATGAATAAATAAAATTAAATAATTTCTATTAAAAAAAGGTGGAAGAGGGCCTAGCCCTAGGCCCTGGGCTCAAGAGAGCTGACCCTATTGACGGGGGAACAGAGTTAGGGAAGGGCTGGGGTAAATGTGGGGCTGAGTTTGTACATCTAAGTCCCCTATTTATGTGCCCAGCCTTCTTTTGGTAGAAGTTGCTGGGACATCAGGTCCCCGTGGATTTCCCTACCCCTCTCCAGACCCCAACCTGCATGAGCCACTGTGGCCTACTACCCTGGGCTGTTCTGGAGTCTCTGCTGGGTATCTTCTAAAGGAAGACATGGTGTCTTCCATGCCTTTCACATGGTGTTCCCAATCTAAGGAGATGCAAGGCTGGGACATACAGATGGGGCAACATAGCCAGCCAGGTTCAGTGATGTCAAGCATCTCCCCCCACCTCAAGAGATTCTGGGAGGTGGACAGAAGGGCTGTTCACAGTCTTTCTATAGATTTGACAAGTAAACCCTTTACTTTGTTTTGAGAAAATAAGCCTCAGTGAATCTTTCCATCCTACACATGGCCTCTAGGAAACTATAGTTCCCATGCTTTTATAAGACAACATCTTAGGAAAATATTTCCACATAAACCACTTTTGTTTTCGGTGGTGACTCAATATCAGTCTCAGCCAAAAGCAGAGTGTCCTTGACCTCTGTGACCAGAGGGGAGGCCTGAGCTGCCTCTAGAGCCTTGCCCCTGTTCCGTCTTCTCCGCATCCCCACCACTGTCCGCTTTCTCTGGGGCCTGCTGGTCTCCCTGGATCTGTGTGGCTCTTATTGTACATCCAAGGCATGCCCACCTGACCCACTCTGCCATTCTTGTGGTGGTTCCCAGCTTCTTTGTGTCTTCAGCAGGTGGCCATGGGAGCCTCGGGACAAACAGGAGGCTTGGGCGTTTGTCCCATCAAGAAGGCTTTGCAATCTGAGCAGTTGGTGTTCCTCTAGGGAGTCTATGGGCCAGGCTGAGTAGGGGCTTCCTTTTACCAGAAATAGCTGTCATTGGCATGCTCTCAGGGTCAGAAGTTGCCTGTTGCTGGCATAGTTGGCACAGGCCTATCCAAGATGGTCTATGGTCAGTAGGCAAGAAGTGCAAAGAAGGGTCCTGGAGCCCAAGTCAGTCCTTTCAGGAGACATTACGAAAGGCTCCACATCCCAGAGAAAAAGGCCATGTGCTAAACTGCTGGGTAGGAGTGCTGAAGGGCTGAGGAGAGGGACTTCGGGCCCAGAAGACACTGGCTCCTGCTCCAGTTCACAGCAGTTGTCTTGAACTTAAGCGAGGCTGTAGCTGGTCCTCCTGTTGGAAGGGGCAGAAGCCAAGGAGAAGGATGTTTGGGGGTGGGTGTCTGTCCTGCCACAGACCCAAAGGAAGTTACAGTGGCTGTTCCTTATCTTCCCAGCAGTTCCCCACCTTCGTAGCCCATTAAAGCTACAACCCTGTTCCTTCTTGTCCCATCAAGCAACTCCTCATCCATTCCCTGAAGTGTAAAGCTTGATCTCAGTATTCCTCTGCTGAAGAGTGAGGTCATCAGCACTGAGTGAGGGGCTGATGAAGGCGGTGCCACTCGCTGCCCATCCCATGTGACCCTGTGTGTGTGCATGTGTCACATCTCTGTGTCTAGCTGTCCGCGTGTGTGGGAATGTCTGCAGACCAGGTGTGTTGCTACTATACATGTATTCTCAGAGAACCTACTTGGTCTTGAGCTCTGTGCTGGGTTCTTGGGGTACAAAACTAATAAAACACAGCCCAGCCTTCAGTGTGCCCATAGTCTACTGGGAAACCACAGTGAGCAGATCCTCCCTATGCAGCGGGATGTGTGCTCTGGTAGGGGAAGAACGAGGCCAGCTGCTCAGTACAGTGTGTGGGAGGGAAGACCGAGAGACCCTCAGGTTTCAGCCCCAAGGTGGTGCCATTCCCAGGGTGGAGACAGGGACACAGGAGGAGGAACCCATGGGGAAGCCAGTGCGTTGAGTTTAGGATTCACTGAGGTGGAATGCATGCTCATGGCATATCAGATGGAAACATCCACAGGAGAACATGATGCGTGGATCTGGAACTTGGGGGAAATCCAGGGTGAGGAGCAGGTTTAAGAGTGGCCAGGTATGAGGTGCTGGCAGTCAGGCAGATCGGGGAGGTACCCAGGGGGCCACTGACAAAAATAGCAGAGAGCGAATAGGGGAGCAGAAAGGGAGCCCTCGCATGCCACCATGTGACAAGTAGTCAGAGGAAGAAGCCTGAGAAAGGGTGGCCATACTAGTAGAAGAAAATCCAGGAGGAAACGACTGCATGCAAGCTAGGGAGAGAGCCTCCCAAGGCATGGCTGTTCTGTGGGGTAACAGCAGGGAGGCCTGCAGGCTGCCGTTGGTCATGCCCACATCAGCACATGTCCACTGCCTCCCTGGTGTCTGTAGCCCTCCCCTTGGAGATGCATGTGTGTGGGGTGCCCACCTCCGAAGGCTCAGCTGACGGGAGGCGTCCTGGTGTGGCACCTTTGGCACAGGGCCGACCCCGACCATGAGGATGCACAGCCCAGTGAGGATCATGCAGGTGGGCACGGCACCAATGAGGACCTTGAGGGTCACCACCACTTCCTCGGCCTGCTGGCAGGCTCCTGCCTTATAACCTGCAAACCTGCAGAAACACCACCTGTCTGTCCAGGCCAGGGCCTGCCAAGCCTGGCTCCCTGGGTGGAGGGGTCAGATACCCCCCTTTCACTCTTGCTGAAACTTGGACTTTGTTTCTTGACCAGATCAACCTAATTGTGGTGAAGGGGAGTGGCAAGGGGATGGCTGACCAAGGAATTCTCAGAGAGAACTGAGAATGGAGAGCTGGGGCTTCAGAAGGGGTACAGCCCCTAAGAAAGGGCCCTCTTGGGACCAGCAGTTAGCATAATGGCCATGTCGCTGTACTCCCATGTAGTCTACCACGGTTCGAGTCCCAGACCTGGTGGCTTAAACTCACGCCAGGCGCATGTGCATGAGTGCCCAAGATCCTGAAAGGAGAATGGAGGAGAAGGGATTGCAGCGTGGCCATCCCCCCTGGGGGTGATTTCTCGCTTTCTGTCTGTCTCTCTCTTTTTCTGGTGAGTGCACGTGCCCTATAGCAAAAACCTCTCCAAAAAAAGAAAAAGAAAGGGCCCTCTCAGTCACATGCACAGAGAAACCTGGGGAAGGTGGTTCCTCGCAGTCTCCATAGAGCAGAGCTTGGACCTGACTCATGGGTGACCCCTGGCTGGGTAGGGTGGGGGGCTTTGCCCTCTCTCCCACCTCTTTCCCACTAGTCTTTATGCCCTTGGTATACCCATCCCTGAGCCTCACTCCAGACTGAGGGTGGAGATGCCCAGGGCGCCTGCGCCTGAAAGCTTGGTGAAGAAGACGTAGGATGAATAGAAGATGGTCTCCAGGCCTGGGCCGTGCTGCTGATGTTGTAGCTGGAAGTCATCTACCACGTCTGGCAGCATGGACCTGGCAGGGCGAGGGGACTGCATGGAGTTATCCCTTTATCTCCTCGATGACCAGCAGCCTGTGAGCACTCTGGGCACAGAGACCAAGTCAGATTCACCCTGGGTCCTGCTCTCTGGGAGCAGAACTGGCCTACAGAGAGCCAGGAATAAGCAGCTTGTATCCCACACCTCCCACCAATCCTCTTCAGGGACCCTCTTAGGAGGGCTCCAAGGATGGAGCTGGCAGCCTCCATCTCCTGCCCAGGCCGGGCATGGAGACTTAGTATGGCAGGTTGACCTGAAGAATGAGATACCCACCATGGAAGCACATGAGGCTCCCATGCCCCCTTCCCCTCACCCAGCCTACCAGGGTAGCAGCAGGGACACTGCAATGCTCATGCCGGATACAAAGGCCACAACCATGTCGCTGTACTCCCATGTAGTCTACCACGGTTCGAGTCCCAGACCTGGTGGCTTAAACTCACGCCAGGCGCATGTGCATGAGTGCCCAAGATCCTGAAAGGAGAATGGAGGAGAAGGGATTGCAGCGTGGCCATCCCCCCTGGGGGTGATTTCTCGCTTTCTGTCTGTCTCTCTCTTTTTCTGGTGAGTGCACGTGCCCTATAGCAAAAACCTCTCCAAAAAAAGAAAAAGAAAGGGCCCTCTCAGTCACATGCACAGAGAAACCTGGGGAAGGTGGTTCCTCGCAGTCTCCATAGAGCAGAGCTTGGACCTGACTCATGGGTGACCCCTGGCTGGGTAGGGTGGGGGGCTTTGCCCTCTCTCCCACCTCTTTCCCACTAGTCTTTATGCCCTTGGTATACCCATCCCTGAGCCTCACTCCAGACTGAGGGTGGAGATGCCCAGGGCGCCTGCGCCTGAAAGCTTGGTGAAGAAGACGTAGGATGAATAGAAGATGGTCTCCAGGCCTGGGCCGTGCTGCTGATGTTGTAGCTGGAAGTCATCTACCACGTCTGGCAGCATGGACCTGGCAGGGCGAGGGGACTGCATGGAGTTATCCCTTTATCTCCTCGATGACCAGCAGCCTGTGAGCACTCTGGGCACAGAGACCAAGTCAGATTCACCCTGGGTCCTGCTCTCTGGGAGCAGAACTGGCCTACAGAGAGCCAGGAATAAGCAGCTTGTATCCCACACCTCCCACCAATCCTCTTCAGGGACCCTCTTAGGAGGGCTCCAAGGATGGAGCTGGCAGCCTCCATCTCCTGCCCAGGCCGGGCATGGAGACTTAGTATGGCAGGTTGACCTGAAGAATGAGATACCCACCATGGAAGCACATGAGGCTCCCATGCCCCCTTCCCCTCACCCAGCCTACCAGGGTAGCAGCAGGGACACTGCAATGCTCATGCCGGATACAAAGGCCACAACGTAGGCCACGGGGGCTGTGGGCACAGCAGCCAGCAAGATTGCAAAGGGCACCATCAGCTGGGGAGACAGACACACTAGTGGCCCTCCACCTACTCCAGGGGCTTGCTCATTTATTCCCATACCCTCTGCCTTTCACCCTTGACTCCTACACATAGCCTGTGCCAGGCCCGGAAGGCAAGTGAACACAGATCCCCCTGCTGACTCAGGAGGCTCAGGCTCCATGTCACCTCCCCCCACACCATCCCTAAGCCACCCCCCAGGCCTTGCCTCCTGCTTCACTCACACAGATCCCGAAGGCTGAGGTCCTCTTCCCAAATCGCTGGAGAACCCACTCCCATAGTGGGGTGCTCAGCACAGCCGAGACCTGTAGCAGATGGCATCACACCAGGGACATGCTGCCAGTGCCTACCCAGGATCTCAAAGTCCTGACCTCAACCCTGCCCTGATTTGAACCAGTGACTTTCAACTCCATGACCCTGGTCCTAATTCCACCCTATACCAGAATGCATGTGATGACCACAGCAGAGTCTAGAATTTCAACCCACCAGAACTCTGGCCATAGGTGTTGCATCAAGGACCACATGTGTCCCTAATGCAGGTTCCCAATAACCTGGCTTCTGCCATCCCATGCCTCCTCACCAGGATGGTCAGCACCAGGCTCTGAACATGGTCGTGTAGCCGGGAGGCGTGTGTACAGAACAGCACCAGGTAGCTCTGCTCCACCTGCAACATGGGATAGGAAGTGTGTGTGCAGGGAATGGCAGAACCTCAGAAGTCAAGGCCAACACAGGGTCTCCCGTCTGGCCTCTCCACTGGGACTGTAAACGTGGGTTACTGCCACTATATCATGCAGTCGCCTCGCCCCCAAGGACACTTACCCCTGTGCAGACATAAGCACCATTCCCAGCCTACCCTCTCACCACTTAGACGGCTAAGATCAGGATGACTTGGCTAAATTTCAGCCAACTTGAGATACCATCAGCTTCCTAGGGTAGAGACCTTGAGGGCAGTCCCACAGACCCTACTTTGGGCTTTATCCCAGTCCAACCTCTCTGGGCCACGTACTAGTCTTGGGTCTCTCCCTGTCAAACTCAAGCCCCACTCTGATGCCGTGGGACCAGGAGACAACCCTGACCCCAGAGCCAAATGAGTAGGGTCAGCTGGCCAGAGGTACCTGGACAGCAGCTGAGATGAACAGGAAGGAGACCACCAGCTTCAGGTAGGGCGGGTGCCGGGCAGTGAGGATCAGTCCAGCCAAGAAGCTCAGGCCTTGGCCTGATGATGGGGCAGAGGGGTCTGTAACACAGAAAGGTGACACCTGGCTTGGCAGAGTTCAAAGCTGAACCCCACCCCCAAGAGGGGTCCCGTCCCCATCCGCAGCTTCCCGTGCACTACACACCCCCATACCTGGCTGCTCCTTCACTCCTAGGCAGAGCAGACTGCTGCACACAGGGTAAGTCACCGCAACCACGGCGGCTGCAATCGAGTAGAGGCGAGTCTGTGGGACAGGACAGAGCTGGGGTGGGGGGATGTCTCCAACCCATGGTGGTAGTGACCCCTAGGAGCATGGCAGGAGTACCTCCCAATGGGAGCAGAGGGGCCTCATCCCAAGCCCACTCACTCCAGAAGGACAAGGAGATCTGAGGGCTCAGAATGTCCCCCCACACACCCCTTTGGAGACTCCATGCCTTATGCGTGGAAAGAGGGTGTCCATGCTGCTGGAGGCAGAGTGCATTTCCACTCCTTTTATTAGGAAAACATTTACTGCTGCCAACTTCTGCAGGCTAGACCCTGAGGTCGCAATGATGAGTAACCGACCCCTGTCCATCCACAGTAAGGGGCTCGGGTGTGGGAAGGAAGACAGAGCCGCCCGCAGACATGAGATCATACTAAGACCCAGAGGAATTGAGAACAATAGTGCCACCTGTCATTCGGGGAAAAAGATACCATAAAACTGCATATAAAGAAAGACATGCATGGGTGTGGCAGGCTGCCAGGTCAGGGCAGGTTACCTTTAGGGAGGGGAGGAAAGAGGAGGGCAGGCTCAGGGTGGGTGGTGGGTTTCAGGGTATCATCTGCGTGGAGGCCCTGGGCCTTGTGCTCAGAAGGGTGCTGCACTGGGGTTTTAATATTCTGCTGCCACTGTCATGAAGTTCTTGGTAATTTTATTTATGAATTTTATTTTTTAAGTGAAGTCTGATGAGACAGTGGAGTGTGAGCTAGCAAGGGCTCCTTCCCATCTCTTCTCCATCAGCACTGGGTGGTATTGGGAAGGGGGTGTGGAGAGGCATGAGTGTGGGTGCAGGGAAAGCCCAACAGAGCAAGGTTTGCTGACCCTACACTGGCAGTGCCATGGTGGACTCAGGCCACTGCGCAGGGGCCTCACCAGTCCTGATCTGGTGGGCTCAATTCCAACACTGGAGACTACAGTCCATTGGCTGGAGCTGTGGGCTGAGTGGAAGGGGAGACTGCCTTCTCCACTCTCACTGAGGCCCTGGATGTTCATTCTGTACTACACACAGGCAGGTTGTATAGCTGATTCTCAAACAGCGGTCAGAATCCCTGGAGGGCTTGTTCAAGTAGATTGCTGGGCCCCATCCCCAAATTTGTGAATCAGAAGGCTGAGAATTTGGCTTGCTCTCTTTTTTTTTCTTTTTCTTCTTCCTTCCTTTCTTTTTAATTTTTGCCAGGATGCACATGCGAAAGAGAGAGGAAAATTGAGAAAGCACCCCCATGGGACACGGTCTTGCTATTGCAATTCCTTCTCCTCTACTTGTCCCTCCTTTTGGAATTTTGGGCACATATGCACACATGCCTGGCATGCCTGGTGTATTTCTTTTTCCTTTTGTTTTTTTTGGTCATAGGGCACATGCACTTGCCAGACACAGAGAGAGGGAAAGTGAGAAATCTCCCCTCAAGGGGGATGGCCATGTCACAGTCTCTTCTCCATTCTCATTCTGGGATTTTGGGCACACATGCATTTGTGCCTGGTATGATTTTCTTTTCTTTTTGGAGAGGATTTTTGCTCTAGGGTGCGTGCGCTAACCAGAAAGAGAGACAGAGAGACAGAAAGCGAGAAATCACTCCCCAGGGTGGACGGCCATGCCACAATCCTTTCTCCTCCATTCTCCTCTCGGGATCTTGGGCATGCATGCACACGCGCCCGGTTTGAGTTTAAGCTGCCAGGTCCAGGACACGAACCGTGGTCGACTACATGGGAGTCCAGCGACAAAGTCATTATGCCAACTGCTGGTCCCAGTGCCTGGTATGATTTTCAAGTTGCAGGATCTGTGACTTGAATTGTGGCCCGCCATATGGGAATCCAGCATTTTTTTTTTTTTTTTTTTAGAGATTTTTGCTATAGGGCACATGTACTTGTCAGAGAGACAGAGAGATATAGAGAGACAAAGCAAGAACTTGCCCACATGAGTTTTAAGCCACTGGGTCTGGGACTTGTGTGAGCCCAGCAATGTAACCATTACGCTATCTGCTGGTCCCGGGAATATGCATTTTAACCACTATTCCATCTGCTGACCCACCTGGCATGTTTCTTTCTTTTATTTTTTCATTATACACATTTTTATTGTATACACATTAGGTACACAGTTAAAAGAATAAAAATCCTACTCTAGGATGAGAATAAAATAAATAGAACAAAGATATACGAATGGAATGAACATAAACAAGACTAAGTATATGATACACCTGACATGTTTCTTAAGCCACCAGGTTGTGGGCATCACCTGTGCTCAGTCAGCCATCTGGGATCCAGCTGCCTTAAACACACCATAGGCTTGACCAAGAGAAACTACCTTTCTTTTTTCTTCTTCTTCTACCTTTCTTTCTTCTTCTTTTTTTTTTTTTTAGAGAGAGATTTTTTCCTATAGGACACGTGTGCTTGCCAGACAGAGACGGAGAGACAGAAAGCGAGAAATCACCTGCCCTTCTCCCCCCCACCACCCAACTCCCTGCCACAGGGAAATGACCATACCGCAGTCCCTTCTCCTCCGTTCTTCTCTGGGTGTGAGTTCCAAGCCTCTGCATTTGGTCATGTGGGAGTCCAGCGACATAACTACTGTGCCCAGACATAACTACTACGCCATCTCCTGGTCCTGAGAATCTGCCTTTCTAACAGGCTCCCAAGTGATACTATGCTGTTGGTCTGGGGACACTCTCTGAGAATCAGCTTTATACCTTTTTGCAAATCTAAAAGATTTATTAATTTAAGAACAAGCAGGGCCAGCCCTGTAGCCTAGTGATTAGGAAGCCAGATCCCATATTCCCAACCATGGTTTGAATACCAGCCCCAACTGCTTGAAAAACACACTAGAAAAGGAAAAAAGAAAAGTATTTAGTTGAGACCAGCAGATGATATAATGGTTAAATCACTGGATTCCCATAGTTGACTGCAGTTTGAGTCCTGGACCCACTGGCTTAAAACTCACGCCAAGCACATGTGCATATGTGCCCAAAATCCAGAAGAATGGAGGAGAAGGGATTGTGGCATGCCCACCCCCCTGGGAGGGGGTTATTTCTCGCTTTCTGTCTGTCTGTCTCTCCAGTGACTGCATGTACCCTATAGCAAAAATCTCTCTAAAAAAATAGAAAAGAAAAATGCACTAGTGGGGCCAGCAGATAGCATAGTGGTTATGTCGCTAGACTCCCACTTGGCCAATCATGGTTTGAGTCCCAAACCTGGTGGCTTGAAACTCATTCTGGGCGTGTGTGTGTGTGCGTGCCCAAGATCCCAAGAGGAGAACAGAGGGGAAGGGATTGTGGTGTGGTCATCCCCCTGGGGGGCGATTTCTCGCTTTCTGTCTCTGTCTCTCTTTCCAGCAAGTGTATATGCCCTGTAGCAAAAATCGCTTTAAAAAAATCATACACAAGGTGTATATGCATATACCCCAAATCTCAACAGGATGGAGAAGTGAAGAGATTGTGATGTGATCACTCCCCTTTGGGGATTGCTTTCTCCCCGTCACACTCTTGTGAGCAGAGGTGCCCTCTGGCAATAAAAAAAGAGAGAGAAAAATTTTTTAAAAGGTACATTCAGAAGGGCACAGAGAACATTGAGAGGCTCACAGCCAAACCTGGGCAGGGGTGGCCTTGGCCAAGTCCTGAAGGTGAGGGCATGCATGTTCAAATTCCTTTCAAATGTCTCCCTTTTGTGCGGGAACTGGCTAGGAGGGGCCTGGGGCTGGGCGATAGCAGTGTGCTGCACAGCAGCTCAACAGATTCTGGACCGTTCTGGGTCACAGTGGACACAGTTTGGTAATAGGCTGGAGGGTTGAGACACAGGGAGGAGTGAAGGAGGACTCAGGGCCCTAGGGGATAATGATGCCATTTGCTGAATGAAAAAACAAAAGGAGAAGATAAACTCGATGGTAAAGTTGGTGTGTCGAGCTCATTGCTGAAGGCCCTGCTCTGAGGAGAGGAAGGGGGCTCTCCCCGGTTTTACCTCTGGATGGGGGAAGCCTGGGTAGGGATGGGGGCAGAGGTAATAGGAAGGGCTTTACTCGGAGCTCCTCAAGGACACCAAACCCTCCTCTGCCCCTCTCCCTGCCCCAAGGGCCCCTTCCTACCCCTGCCTGTGGCCCTGCCTCCCCCTCCAGGAGGCCTGCCCATCTGCTGTTTTGGTTCAGGTCTAGAAGAAATCCGGGAGACTGGCTGAACTAGAGGAGAATGGTGGGTCTTGCTCCACAAGCCCCCCAAAGACTAGGAAGAGGTGAGGAGAAGGACTGCCTTCTAGAGGAATGAGGTCACCTCACAGAGGGCATTCCAGGCACTTACCGCGTCCGGTGAGATGGAGACTGGCCCCGGAGTTGCAGTGTCCTCGCACCTGTGTGGCCGATGGGCACCAGACACGATGAGCCCATGGACTGTGGCCCCCATCAGCGTCCCTGCCATCTCCATGGTCATCCCTGGAGACAGGACACTGTGCAAAATGACCGAGCAGGCAGGGTACGGGGTCCCAGTGGCATCGCCCTCCAGCCCAACCCCTACAGGTGGCACTCACGGTAGGCAGTGACAGAGTCCCTCTCCCTGGAGCTTGGGGTCAGGAGCATGGTGAGGGCAGTGTAGGGCACCTGGAAGAACTGAAGCAGCCAGCAGAGCTTAGGGCAGTGCCCACTGCCCAGCTATGGCCTGCAGCCACCCTGGTTGTCACTTGAAGCCCAGAGCAAGGGGCAGGTGAGAACTAGTGGTAGATTTCCAGATCCTGGGGGACAGGTGGGGTCAGAGTTCCCTCCACACTTCAGAGTAGCCAGCAGCTGTGAGGTTCACCAGTCATGACCAGGTAGGGGGGCCACCTGCTTACCGTGGCCAGAGCCTGGAACAGGCAGTAGAAGGTGGTGTACCAGAGGCCACGCAGGCTGGTGAAGGGTGGCAGGAACCACAGGAAGAAGTAGGCCACGGTGATGAAGGGCATGCAGCCCAGCACCCTGCAGAGGTACAGCTGAGGGGGGGCGCCCAGAGCACCAGGGCAGGGGGTACCGAAGGGCCCAGCCTGGAGCAACATTGCCCCCTCTGTCCTTTGAGAAGCCCTCACTCTTGGGGGAGAGCGATGGAGGGAGGAGGAAAGTGGCTGGTCAGAAGTGAAGAAGGTAGTGGGGGTTGAGGGCCATTTGCTGCCAAGACTTGGCTGGGGCACTTAGGCTCAGTGGTGCCATTCCCTTTGTTAAGGACCAGAGCACAAGTAAGTTGTGTTTCCTCTGTGAGACCTTCTGTGACCTCTAGCCCAGCCTGACCACACTTAGAACCAAAGGCCAGGTCTAGGAGTCTTGGAGGCCTTGTCCAGCTTTGTGCTATCTGGGAGGGACAGTCCCTAAGAATGTCTCTTACCACATGGGTCACAGTCTGACCCAGCCCAGTGCCCTTGGCACCTACTGCACTGCCCAGTCTTAGCCTCTAACCATCCAGACTTCCCACTAAGAAGCAGGTCTGTGACATGCATTGTGACCTCAGGGCTGGGGGTAGGTGGCTGGATCTTGGGGACCATGGGCTGCTCACCAGGGCATGAGTCGTCCAGAACCTGTCCTTCTGCTTCTGTTAATGAAGAACCCAGCCACAGGGTCAGCAGCCGCCCCAGACACTTTCCCTCCAAACAGGACAAGTGACACCTGGGCAGCAGGGATCTGAAAGGAGTGGGGGGACGGTTGTCAGTAGCCATGGCCTGGCAGGATCAGAGAGGGTATCCAGATGTTCTGGCCCACCATAGGGAGGCCTGGGAACCTGGCTCGGCCTAGAGACACAGTGTAAAGGGCGAGTCAGCCTCTTCTCAGTCCAGAAGCTGTACCTGTGAGAAGGGGTGGGGAGGGAGCTGTACTGTGACACACTCCTGGCCAGTCACTCTTGGAGTCTTAGAGAAGACCTGAGGGACTTCATCTGGGGATGGCTCAGGGTAAAAAGGGGGCGCCTAGGCTGACAGAGGCAGACATTTTGTTTCACAATGGAAGTGTTTTATTGGCTTTTCCGACAACATACGTTGACACACTTGCTAGAAAAGCATTCAGATAGTACAGAAAAACAGAAAGCACAGCTCATCTGAAAACCCACTGTCCTGGGACAACTGCCAGAAGCATTTTGATGAACATCCTCTCACGCTTTTATGTGCATTTTAGTTTTATGCAATGAAAGTATATCAGTGTTGGGACCAGTAGTTAGCGTAATGGCTATGTCGCTGAACTCCCATGTAGTTGACTGTGGTTTGAGTCCTGGATTCGGTGGCTTAAACTCATGCCAGGCATGTGTGCGTGTGTGAGTGCCCAAGATCCCGAGAGGAGAATGAAGGGGAAGGGATTGTGGCATGGCCATCCCCCTTGGGGGGTGATTTCTCACTTTCTGTCTTTCTCTCTCTGTCCTTCTGGAGAGCGCACATGCCCTATAGCAAACAAAACAAAACAAAACACAACGCAACAAAAAAAAAACCTCTCCAAAAGTATATCAGTGTCATTCAAACAAATCATGGATACCTTATTATAAGTTTTGTTTTTGCTTACCGTCTATCCCCCACCATCCTCTCCTATAGCCAAGATTAAGAGCTTGGGGAGTACCCGTGTATGGTTCCTCCGTGCTCATAATCCTGTACGGCACACGTGCATGCACCCATGCACACACATACATGTAAAGTGTCTTTGTTTTGCTAAGATGGGATCATTTTATATACTAGCCCCCAAAATAAACTTTTTTAAAAAAGGTTTTTGCTATAAGGCATATGTGTGCACGAGAGAGAGACAGAGAAAGTGAGAGACCAGCCCCTCTAAGGGATGGCCATCCTGCAATCCCTTCTCTTCTGTTCTCTTGGGATTTTGGGCACACACGTATAACGTGTCCTGTGTGATTCTCAAGCTGTCAGATCTGGGCTTGAATCATGGTTGGCCACATACATGGGAATCCAGTGCCTTAACCACCACACCACATGCTGGCCCCCAAAAGGAGCTCTACTTAAGTGACAGTCCATTAAGGAAATCCTTCCAAGTCAACGATAGAGCTCATTCTTAGAATGACTGCACAACCGTTCATTATGTGGATATGGAATGACTTGCTTACCCAACTGCTTCTATTCTGTTGGGCAATCACATTGTTTCTCAGTTGCCCACCACAGACAGGCTGCGAAGACACCCTTTAGGAGGCTGCCCTCAACAGCAGCTGGCTTTTTTCATCAGGCTTGGGTCAGAAGTGCTGTGTACCAAGATGGTGGGGGTGGAAGGACGAGACACACCAAAGAAGCTGTGGGCCAGGGGACCCTGGGCTGCTGCCCACACTCACCTGTGCCACATCAAGCAGGAAGAGCTGCAGGTAAAAGGCTGTGGCACTGGAAGCCACCTGGTTGGGGACCCCACCAATGCCATAGCACACCTTCGTACAGAACGAGACACGTCCAGCTCTGCTGTCCTGGGGAGACACAGGAACAAGCCCCTCCCCTCACAAACAACCCCCCTCACCTCCCCATGACTTCCACAAGCATCCCCCGAGGTCCCTATGGTGTCTTGAGGGTTCTCCCAGCAACCTCTCAGCCACATCTTGCCTCCAAACCATCCTAAGAGGAAGTCAGATAGAAAAAAAAAAAAGAGAGAGAGAGAGAGAGAAGAACAAGATCCTAACACATAACTTCTAAATGTTTCTGGGGCAAAGCTCTGCCTGTTTTTTCCACCATGCTCACTGCAGTTTGCTTTCATTTACTGTCTGTAAGCCAGAGTGGGATTGAGTGCCTTCTTGGCCACTTCCTCCATGTGATCTTGAATAAATCACTTGATTTTTTTTTTTTTTTTTGGAGAGGTTCTTGCTATAGGGTGTGTGTGCTCGCCAGAAAGACAGAGAGAGACAGAAAGTGAGAAATCACCCCCCAGGGGGGATGGCCACGCCGCAATCCCTTCTCCTCCATTCTCTTCTTGGGATCCTGGGCATGCACGCACACATGCCCGGTGTGTGTTTAAGCCACCAGGTCCAGGACTTGAACCACAGTCGACTACATGGGAGTCCAGTGACATAGCCATTATGCCATCTATTCGTCCCAATCACTTGATCTTAAATAAACCTTGTTTTCCTCATCTGTCAAATGTAACACCTCTGCCAACTTCACACAGTTGTTGGATGAGTAGATGAGGCAGTGGCTCTCAGAGCTGCCTGTTAAATATTCAAGGCTTTTGCAAACTAGTTGTTGAACCACTGGCAGCCTGAAATCAGCTCCACCACCCAAGAAATCAACAACAAACATTACAAACCAGGACTTCCCCCTGTACTGTTTACTAGCCCATCACTGAAATAAAGTAATGTTTATGGGCGCAGAACTTATATCATAGGAAAAATCACAACACATTTTTTGCACAGAAAATGAGAAAAATACATCATGACTTTTCTGACAATACATTACTAGCCCTAAGCCATCCAGCAAATTCTGGACTCAAATATTCTACTGTGTACTCACAGCCCCACCCAGATGCCTGAGAAGCATTTCAGCTTGGCATGGCCAACACTGTCAAAACTCGCTCCCGACATCCATCCCATTGTGTAAGTGCGCTCCTGACACTGCTGTTGACGCTGTATTGAATGGACAACAGTCTGCTCATTGGCTTGGGCTACAAACTGAGGACTCATCCCTGATTCTTTTTCTAGTTCATTGTCTAATCTATCAGTGAGAGCCTCCTAAGTGGCTTCTCAGCTTGGCTCTTGCTCCCTACAATCCAGTCTCTGCCCAGCAACCAGTGATCTTTTATAATATAAATCAGCTCTTCTTTCCTCTTGCCTAAAGTCCTCTAATACTTTACCTATGGTGGCCTTCTTTCTAGTCTTCAAAATGACCAAGTCTGTTGCTGCCCCAGGGCCTTTGCACTTCCCATCCCTTTGCTGGAAAGGTTCTTTTATGTCTTTGAAGGGCTGACTCCTGACATTCAGGTCTAAGCTTAAATGTCCCCTCAGACGGGCATTCTCAGACTACCCAAGTCTGTCTCAGTTGTACGTACCACTTGGTATATTTTCATTTATTTCCCACCTCTCCTCACCAGAATGTAAGCTCTCTCCTAGGGCATGGACTTTAACTTTATTCACCATAGTGTCTCCAGTAGCTAGAACAATGCTGGATATATAGTAGGTGCTCGATTATGCTTGTTGGCGCAGTAAATGGCCATGAAGACACTGTGTGAATGCGATTTCTTCAAAAGACGCTGGGAGTCCTTTCTCATCATTTTCTTGGGGACAGGAGGGAGTGGAGGAGACTTCACCCATTTTGGTATCTTGCGGGACACCACACGCAGGCTCTTTGAAAGAGACGCTCCTCCCAGATAAGGGTTATCGCATTTGCACACGCTTGCTACTCACAGGGGAAAACCACACTCAAGGCAGGATGTGTTCTCCTTTTCTGGTGTCTGTGTGGACCTTATTTTAACTTCCAGAAAACTTGAAAAATAGGCAAAAGCCAACGTAGGCAAAACTCTCCCCTCCCTAATAGTGGGCCTCTTATTCCCCCCTGCATGGGCCTAGCAAGTTTCTAGAACACAGAAGACACTCGAGAAAGGAATTACAGCCGAAACTAGGGATATGATACAATCGTGGAGTCTGAGTGTGACACTTTGACGTACTTAAGTCAGAAGTCCTAGCAGGCTGACTGAGCATAAGTTACAGGCAAACTATCTGTCATTTCTAGCTGTGTGACCTAGGCCAAAGTCACCTTGCTGAGCTTCAGTTTCCTCGCAGGTAAATGAGGATAATACTCCACCAGGGTTGTTATGGAAACTACATGCTGGCACTTCACTGGCAGCGATGGTCTCCCCTCTTGCCGTTAACCTCACCCCAAATTTCTTTTATCATTTTTTTAAAGAGAGATTTTTGCTATAGGGTGTGTGTGCTCACCAGAGAGACAGAAAGACAGAGACAGAAAGTGAAACATCATCCCCCTCGAGGGGGATGGCCACACTGCAATCCTTTCTCCATTCTCCTCTGGGGATCTTGGGCTCGCACCCAAACAACCACGACCCACTATGCAGGAGTCCAGCAATAACCACTATGCCATCTGCTGGTCCCATCCTCACTCTAAATTTCTTAATTCCTGGAGAAATAAGAGCCCTCCAGGGCCTCCTTATCTCACTTTATTGGGGGAGGGGAGCACCATTCTTTGCTCTGTGGTGCCCAAGAAGCAGCAGAACCAAGGCCCCGGGACAGAAAGCCCAAGGGATCCTCACTCCTCTCCCACAGCCTCCTGTACCGCCCCCCACACCCCCAGTACAGCTGCCAGGAAGGTCATTTCTGGGGGCAGCCTCTCAGTGAAAGGACAGCCTGGTGTCTGGGTGAAGCCTGGGTTCGAGGGAGGCTAAGCCTACAGCAGCTTCCTCATACAAAACGCGAAGCCGTACCTGCCTGGGCCCAGGGGACCCTGGGGAGGACAAGAGCCCTAGCTAGGTGTCAGGACACCAGAGAAGCCCGGTCCGGCCGCCTGCTTGAACCAAGCCTGAACCAAGCCAGCGGGCAGCTTGCTTGTTCAGGCCCGTTTCCCATCAGCATCTTCAGCCTCTCAGTTCTCCACTTCCAGCCCCACTAGGCAGTGCACAAAGCTTGCAGGCTCGGGCTGAGGCCCACAGCACTGCCCGCGGCGGGGTAAAGGGCTACGCTGCGATGCCCTCAAGCTCCCTGGGCCCGCAGTGCCCGCTTCCCAGCCGCAACTCTCCACCTGCCCAGCCCCCATGTGCCCTCGCTTTGCGCTCACCGAACCCGGCTCCAAGGTGTGAGCTTCTGGCTGGGGCGGCGGTGCCTCCGCTGGGGCCGGGGCTCGTGCACCGGGCACCGCCATCGCGCTCAGCAGCTCCGACTGGGCTGTCGCCTTCAGGGTTATCGCCCCGCGGGACGGGTGGGTCGGGCGGGAGTGGGCGCGGTGCTGCGCGAGCCGTGGCCCCCCCGGCGCGCCCAAGCAGCCTGCACCACCGGGGAAGCGCAGTACCCGCGAAGTGCGCGTGTCATTCCCGCAAAGGGGAAGCGCCAGGAGCCACAGTTGGCCCGAAGCGGGGAAAGGGCCGCCCGGGCCCGCGGAGTGGGTCCCCGAGGGAGTGACAGCTGCAGACTGCGGCGATTCGCCCTAAACCGTCCTGCGAATGCCTGTGGGTGAACCCGTGGGAGAAAGTCGGCAAGTAACTTTTCTTTCTTTCTTTCCTTTTCTTTTCTTTCCTTTTCTTTTCTTTTCTTTCCTTTTTTCTTTCCTTTTCTTTTTTCTTTTCTTTCTTTCTTCTTTCCTTCCTTCCTTCCTTCGTTAATTCCTTACTTCGTCCTAACTTTCTTTCTTTCTCTCTCTCTCTCTCTCTCTTTCTTTCTTTCTTTCTTTCTTTCTTTCTTTCTTTCTTTCTTTCTTTCTTTCTTTCTTTCTGGAAGCAATAGGATCCTCTTATTCAGACTAAGATTATGTATGGCCCAATAGGCTTTCTTCCCAGTATCAGATGCCATAAATGCACATTTTCTGGCCTCTCTCACAAGGGGTGGGTATGGCCAGGGTGTACTAAACTCTGCAGGATGAATGAAATCAGAGTGGTGAATTAAATACTCAGGGCCTTAATTAACAGGGAAGAGGCCACCCCATAAACGAAAATGAACTGAAAATGTATCTTGGACCTAAATAATGGCTACAACTATAAAACTCTTATATCTTAACACTGGGCTAGACGTTTCCCTAGAACACAGCAAGCAGGAGCTGGACTACATCAAAAGGAAAAACCGGGTTGCAAATGATTCCAAAAAGTGTAAAGTCAACCCATGGAATGGGAGACGAGGGTGGCAAATTGTAAGGGGTTTGTACTGGAACGTATCAAAACTCCCACAGCTCAATGATAAACAGACAAATAATCCCATTTAAAATGGGGCAAAGATTTGTCTAACGATAATATGCAGGAACGGGGCCAGCGGATGGTGTGATGGTTATGTCCCTGCACTTCCACGGAGTCTCAAACCTGGTGGCTTAAAACTCATGGGGGGGGTGTGCATGCCCAAAATCCCGGGCAGAGAATGGAGGAGAAAGGATTACTATGTAGCCATTCCCCAGGGTGGTGGTGGGGTGATAACTGGGTTTCTGTCTGTCTCTGTCTCTCCAGGGAGCACATGTGCCCTACGCAAAAATTTCTTAAAAAATATGCAGGAACAATATTAGCACATAAAAAGATGTTCTCTTCTTTAGGAAAATACAAATCAAAACCCCATGAGATACCACTTCACACCCAATAGGGGGAGCTGTAATTAAAAAGAGACACAATAATAAGTGTTGGAGGAGGAGCTGGAGAAATCACAACTCTTACATTGCTGGTAGGAATGTAAACTAGTGCAGGCCCTTTGAAAGTCTGGCAGTTTCTTGAAAAGTTAAATGTGGATTATTGCATGACTTAGCAATCCTACTCTCAGATGTACATCTCAGAGAAATAAGAGCATGTCTACATAAAAACCTGAACACATGTTCATTAGTAGCACTATTTGACATAATAAACATAATAGTCAAAAGCTAGAAACAAATCTCCGTTAGGTTGTTTTTCTTTTTTTTTTTTGGGGGGGAGGTTTTTGCTATAGGGCGCATGGACTAACCAGAAAGACAGAGAGAAAGAGAGAGACAGAGAGAAATCACCCCCCAGGGGTGATGGCCATGCCACAGTCCCCTCTCCTTCATTCTCCTCTCAGGATCTTGGGCACTCATGCACACGCACCCGGTGTGAGTTTAAGCCACTGGGTCCAGGACTCAAACCGGGGTTGACTACATAGAGTCCAGCGACATAGCCATTACGTCAACTGCTGGTCCCTCCATTAGGTTTTAAAAGGATAAATAAAATGTGGTATATCTGGGCTGGCCCCTACCTAGCCTAGTGATTAAGAGAGTCAAGTGCCACATGGCTGACCCGTGGGAACACATGCGCATGCATTCCCCAAATCCTGACAGAATGGGGAAATGAAGGGACTGTAGAGTACCCATGCTCCACTGGGGAGTGCTTCCTCTCTCTCCCTCCCTCTGGTAAGTACATGCATCCTCTGACAATTAAAAAAAATGGAAAATCACACCAGCATCTGGGTATACATGCCTAAAGTCGTGAGAGACTGGAGGAGGAGGGATTGCAGCATGGCCATTTCCTTTAAGGGGAGGGGGATTTCTCACTTTCCCTCTCTCCAGTGAGCACACATGCCCTATGGCAAAAACCATAAAAAAAATGTATGTTCATATGATAGACTATTATTGGGCAATAAAAAGGAATGAAAGAAGGACCAGCAGTTGGTATAATGGCTATGTCACTGGACATCCGTGTAGTTGACTGTGGTTCGAGTCCCAGACCTGGTGGCTTAAACTCAGACCAGGCACTTGTGCATGCATGCCTAAGATCCCAAGAGGAGAGTGGAGAAGGAATTGTGGTGTGGCCGTCCACCCTGGGGGTTGATTTCTTGCTTTCTGTCTTTCCGTCTGTCTCTTTCTGGCAAGCACACATGCCCTATAGCAAAAATAATAATAACAAAAAAGGAATTAAAGACTGATACATACTACTATACTGATGGACTTTTAAAGACACATGCTAAGGGCTAGCAGGTGGTTTAGTAGTTAAGGCACTGAACTCCCACATGGTTGACTATGGTTTGAACCCTGGACCCGGCAGCTTGAAATTCAGGCCAGGTGTATGTGCGCGTGGTCCCAAAATCCTGAGAGAATGGAGGAGAAGGGATTGTGGTGTGGCCATTCCCTCGCAGGGGTGATTTCTTGCTTTCTGTTTGTCTCTCCAATGAGCACACATGCTCTATAGCAAAAATCTCTACAAAAAAAGACATGCTGAGTGAACATCAATTACAAAACATCACACATTATATGATGCCATTTATATGAAATGTCTAGAATAGGCAAAGAGAAACAGAATGTAGATTAGTGGTTGCCTTAGACTGAGGGTAGGAAGCAACTACTAACAGGTATGGAGTTATTTTTAAGGGATGAAAATGTTCTAAAATTAGATTGTGCTGATGCTTGTACAACCCCATGAATACACTAAAAACCACTGCATTGACTTTCCATGAATGTATCTGTTAAACTATTTTGACCTAAAACAGCCACTGTACTCCCACACTTGGATTCCTGTGCAAAGGCCGAAATCAGACACATCAGGCTGTTTTTCTGAGCTGTTTGCTAAGTTATAGCAAATCACAGGCATCCTGTCTTTTAAACTGTGTTAATGCAGACAAACTTAAGAATGTAACCAACCCAATTTGTTTCCCTGCCTCCTTCCTTCACCTTCATTTCTGAAGGTCATATTCTCCTTTCCGTATACATCACTTTCCTTTTCTGGAACTTTAATAACAAGTTGACCATGACGCTAGACAGAGTTGTCCAGAAGTCTGAGAATAACTGTCCAATTTGAATCATGTTAAGATTTGCTCTGGGACCAGCAGTTGGCGTAACGGCTATATCGCTGGACTCCCACGTAGTCAACCGCGGTTCGAGTCCCAGACCCGGTGGCTTAAACTCATGCCAGGTGCGTGTGCGTGTGTGCCCGAGATCGCGAGAGGAGAATGGAGAAGGGATTGTGGCGTGGCCATCCTCCCTGGGGGGTGATTTCGCGCTTTCTGTCTCTCTGTCTCTCTTTGTCTTTCTGGCGAGCGCATGTGCTCTACAGCAAAAACCTCCCCTCCCCCGAAAAAAAAGGAAAAAAAGATTTGCTCAATTAAAACTCTATTAGGTAGAGTTTTAACACATCATACAGTATGTAAATTATATCTCAATAAAGATGTTTAAATTAAAAAGGACAAGGATGTGTTTCTTCCTACTGGCTGAAATGCAAACACGATTGCTGGTGCTAGTACAGTCATCTTCAGACCAGACTGTGAGTCAAGAGTGCCGACATTAGCAGATCAGCAGTATAGGAACCTGATGATTTCAGTTGATATATCAGCCCTGAACTGCTTTTCTCCTGACTTTTGCATTGGAAATAAATAAATTAAATTTTGCAAGCCAACTATTGTTTTGAATTATGGGTTTAGTATAATAAATCTAATTCTAAAGCAAACACTACCCAGGGCCAACAGGTGGCATAGTGCTTAAGGCGCTGCACTCCCATATGGCCAACCACAGTTTGAGTCTCTGGCCTCAGGGTTTGCTTCCTCACTCTCCTCCTCTCTCTTCCTCTCTGTCCCTCTGGTGAGCACATGTGCCCTAGAGCAAATTCATAAAAATAATAATAAATGAAATTAAATATATAAATCTTAAAAAAAAAAAGGAATATACTACTCAATTCAGGGCGAGTCATTCCATTTTTCTGTGCTTCAGTTCCTACAATATTGGTTATCTTGGTTATCAAGACTGCAGTGGAAGGACAGATTGAATAATGCACATACTAAATATTTAATTCCTTGGAAGTTAATCATAATCTAATATAATCTCTTCTGATCATCTTTTTTTTCTTTTTTAATTGCCAGAGGGCACTTGTGATTGCCAGAGAGAGAGACTGAGAAACAGAGAAAGCACCCCTCAGTGGAGTGTGGCCACACCACCACCCCTTCTCCAGTTCGCTAACCTATCAGGATTTGGGGAACATATTTGCATGTACCTGTTTTTTCAAGCCCATGGGGCTGGGATTTAAACTGCAGTCAGCCATGTGGATTACGGCTCCCTTAAGCAGTAGGCTACAGGTCTGGTCCTAGAAAATCACTTTTAAAAAAATTTCCAGAGGGCATGCTTACTTCAGAAAGAGACAGAGAAAGGGAGTGATAAAGCACTAACTATGAGAGATGGTAATACTGCAATCCTTTCTCATTTCTCCTCCTTTTGGGATATTGGGCATGCTCTTACACAGTGACTGAAGTTTTTTAAAGTAGGTGGGATCAGTGGCCTTATCTACCACCACTGCCACAAGCTGACCTCATAATCTACATTTGAATGTATCTTTGGGGACCAGCAGTTGGCATAATGGCTATGTCACTGAACTTCCATGGTTGAGTGCTGGACCCGGTGGCTTAAACTCACACCAGGCATGTGTGCGTGCATGCCCAAGATCCCGAGAGGAGAATGGAGGAGAAGGGATTGCGGCATGGCCATCCCCCCTGGGGGGTGATTTCTCACTTTCTGTCTCTCTGCCTCTCTGGCAAGCACATGTTCCTTATAGCAAAAAACAAACAAACAAACAAAAACACCTCTCCAAAAATAAATGGCATCTTTTGTTTGTTTGTTTCTTAGAGGGCAGGGGGAGTGAGAAATCCCTCCTGACCCCTACATCTGCCTCTGGGCTGTGGGGAGGGAGCAGCCACATTGCACTCTATTCTATTCTCCTCAGGATCTTTAACATGCACACACATGTGCCTGGTGTGACTTTCAAACCACTGGGTCCTGGACTCAAACCGCTCAGTCAGTGATGTGGAATCTAATGCCTTAACCACCACATCACCTGCTGGCCCCAGTGCATAATTTTTGTATGCATTTTTAGCATGTATGGAAATACTTCCTATCCAATTACATTTATTTATAGAAATATAATTGAAACAAAAGCAATTTTTCTCATAATAATAGATACTATCTTATTTAAAGTGATGGTATGTTCTTAATGTTTTTTTTTTTTTTTTCAGATGAGAGAGAGGGAGAAAGAAAGAAAGAGAGCTAGGAATCTAATTTTTTAAAAGAGAGATATTTGCTATAGGGTGTGTGTGCTCTCCAGAGACAGACAGAGACAGACAGAAAGCAAGAAATCACCCCCAAGAGGGGATGGCCCTCCTCCATTCTCCTTTTGGGATTTTGGGCATGCACACACAGGTGATCTGCTGATCCCCAGAGCTACCCATCTTTGACAGGATCTTACCATGTCACAGTCCTCCTGCTCTAGCCTCCAAGCTAGCACAGTCGGGTTGGTTTGGGAGCTAAACCCAGGCCTCCCACACAGGTCCCCGGTCTCATGCAGCAGTGTCCTACCTCTGGAACTACTGCAGCGGGGCCCACTAACACAAGATTTTTACCAAAAAAGACAAAACAAATTAAATATCAACAGATAAAGCAGCAGGACTAAAATAACCAAGGTAGCAGCCTTTTAATGAAAACAAACTAAAAACTGACACACTGAAAATTATCTGAAAGGATGCACACCAAAATGTTATTAGTGGCTGGGTTATCTTCGAATGATGGAATAATAGCTGATTTATAGATCATTTTAGCATATCTGCATTTAAATATTTTTACAAGAGATATGAATTACCTGTGCCAAAAGAAATACATTTAAAACAAATGACAAAGAACCATTTTTTCCCCCCAAAGAACCAAATATTAAACTACTGAATGAGCCACTTCTATTTGAGGATTTAATGTGATGAGCACTTTTTAAGTTAAACAATTTATACTTAGGAAGAGAAAAAACGAAGGAGTAAATCCTACTAGTCTTCAACACTAGTTCAACTTAGGGCACAAAGAATGCTTTAAAAAATAAACAACCATTTGATTAGTTGTAAAAACATCACAGTTTCACATTTCTGAGGATTAACTGAAAGTAATGGTCAAAGTAAAGGCACCTAAAAAAATGGTGATTCTCAAACCTACTAATGCACCCAAATGTAACTACTTTATAACAAGTGGAATAATTTCACAGATCCTCTTAACGAACAGTATTTCATCCTTAAGAGAACAGTTCTTTAACCATTAGCAAAAGATTGTTTAAAAATACTGTAAGGCACTGAAATAGACACACACATACGTATTAGCAACATACTGAAACATCATGAGATGTGTATTGAATGAGAAAAGTACAGAAAATAAATAAGATTTTTTTCGCCAAAATGATGCATAGCAATTTAACCAACAAATCAGTGTCTATAAAATTAAAAATGTATTTCTCTATATTAGTCCTAACAATTATTTACAAGAAACTGACTAATGACAGTTTTGAAACAACTGCTTAGGTCAAATTGTTTTTCTATTTTATTTTAAAAAATATTTATTTATTTAATTTTATTTCTCCTTATTATTTATCTTTTAATTTGACCAGAGGGAGACAGAGAGAGAGAAAGTGAGAAGGCAAGCTGCCAGGTCTGGGACTCACACCACGGTTGGCCATGTGGGAGTCCAGCTCATTAACCACCATGCCACCTGCCAGCCCCAGGTCAAATTGTATTCCACACCTAAGATGCTTGCTTATTTTAGCGTTTCCATCTCATGACAAATCCAACTTAAGTTTCCAAAGTCAACCTGTTTTAAGTATTCTACACATTTAGCTTAAAACTTCATAATTTTTAAAGTTTCAGGTAAAAAGCTTTATCTATTATTCTCATTTTAGAAAACCTTTGAGAATACTATTCACATTAATGAAAGTTTCCATAGACACAAAGTTGGAGGTTACTGCTCATGACAGATCTTTCTCTATGGGAACTTCTCACTGGGATATATTCTACATGTGCACACAAGAGAACCTCCAATGCATCTTTTGGTTAAATAATTATAAACTGGAAAATCCACAAAGGAGGCTTTCCTGTAGGTACATAAGAAATATTCTGATGAGGCTTTTTACAGAAATATAGGGAGAAGAAAATATTGATCAAAATCATGCAAATGAAAGTACTTCATGATAGGCTTATATGAAACATTTCCTTACAGACTGATGAACATATATTAACAATCATCGTCAGTTATTTTCTATATCTGAAAGATAAGTTCATTGACGTTATCATCCTTCCTTCATTTAAAATAAGAATGATATTAGAGAAAAGGCTCTAATCCTGCTGCGTAAACATTACTGACAACAAATACTTATTTTCTATGTACCTGATCATTACTGAGAGTTAAGTGCAAAGGGAAAGGCTCTGTCCTTTGTCCTTCCTCTCTTCCAAAAAAAAAAAAAAATCTCTGCCACATGAAGGTTGGCAACTAGAAAGGGAAGCACTCTTAAAACAGACTGCAAACAGGTGATACATTTTATAAACCCGGTCACCTGGTTATGTATATAGTTCCCTTTTGTTAATTTATTTTAAACATTTAAACCTCATTTAAATGCTTCAGACTTGTCTCAGCCGTGCTACAGGCGATAAGAGCATAGGTTATTAGTTCAAAGGGATCATCCTCTCTGAGAGCCAAGTGTAGGGACCATGATAAAACTTAAAGGGTCTTTCAGTGGATCTTCCACTGTCCATGGTGAAGCATGCAGGATTTATTTTCTTAAGGTGGAACCACAGTGCAGAATTTCCTGCAAAGCATCACTTCCACCACATGGCATAGAATCACTGGAGAATAACAGCACGGAGATCTGGGATTCACCCCGAATACCATGGATGTCTGTAGTATGTGGCAGGAATAGACACGATCACGGCAATTAAGAAGCACTGCAAAACACTGCCTTATGCGATTGCTTCTCCAAGTGTGATTGAGGGACCCCAGGGGATTCCCAAGACCCATTCAGGAGAACTGCAATGTCAAAACTTTCTTCAGAATCATACTAAGGCATAATTTGCTCCTTTGTCATTCTCGCATGAGTGTACAGAAGTGTTTTCCAGAGGATATATTATGTGTAATATCACAACAGATGGAATGTAAGGAGAGATGCAAATCTGTCTTCCTTGCGCCAGACAGTAAAGATACCTTGCAAAAATGGAACACGAAGCTGGTTTTCTCACTAAAACTTTTTGTTTGAAGGTTATTGTTTTTAAACGAGTAACTATTTAAAAACTTTTAGCATTTAATATATTATTCATATAGCCACAGTCCACATAAACCAAATACCTTGAAGCCAAAGGGCTTGAGAACTGCAGCTGTGTAGCACACATCTAGCGGCCTGTGAAGATTATAGCTGATATGGGCCACTTGGTTCTCTGGCACACTCCATTTACAGTTCACTTTAAATCTGATTCGGTAAGTCACTTGCAATAAAACTTTGTAAAACTTATTTACAGGCAAGGCAATTCAATCTAATAGTGAGATTTGAGAACTAACTGGTTTTAGTTAAAAGGGTAAGATACAAAGTATTTTTATCCTGGTGACATCAGAAGGTAATAAATAATCCTTTAATGTATAGACAAGGTGACTCTGATATATGAAATAGAAAATATGTGATTTGTTTTTAAAATATTCATTAGTTAGTAATGTGACAACATGGGCTTCAGATTCTAAGTGAATGGGGGCAAATGAATGGCTAATCTCAAATGCTAAATTTTATTCTTAAATTAAAATACATTTTAGATACTGTTGCTAAATTAATACGTAAGTATGTATCTTGCTGAATGACACTGAGAATACTCTGAGGTTTAGGTTTGATGAAAACAGGTCTTTCCAGTCTTTTGATTGTATCTGAGTTATAGAATAACTATTGATGCTTTTAAACTGCCATATATAATTTTTTAATGTATTGCCATATAGAACTCTGAGATGGCTAACATTTAAATAAATCCCTGCTTTTTGGGAATGATGTTTGAATGACTGATGTTGTGAACATATTTCCTAATTTATATCACATTAAGATTCTAAATGATATAGCTATTTAATATATCTTGTACTGGTTAATTGGTATTTGAAAATAAGCATACCTTTTTTCTCTGAGTATCCCTTTGGAAAAAGTGCATTGGATATCGTTTCCAGTCATATGTTGCTTTCCTACCTTGTACTTATTTAAAAATCTTATCAGGAGAGAGTTAAGTAGTACTTGAGGCAAAAGTCCAGTGAATCTGACCTCTTTTCTCCATTTTGGTTTGCATGTCCCCTTACAACCATCCACTTTTTCCATGTAGTCTAGTAAAACTCAATGTCATGAAAGTGCCCTGCGAGGCTCAGCCATTTTCTGGAGTCTCTGAATGATGACAGCATTCTGTAAATCTGCTTCTTCCAGGGTAAGTGTTTCATCTAGCAACTTGAGGAAAGGAAGTGCTGTTGCCAGGGAAAAGGGAGGACTTCTTTGAGATCCTTGATATTTTTCAATGAAGTCTTTGATGTGCCTTACCCTGTAAAACAGCAAAAACTATTACTATACTTTTATGAAAATGGAATTAATTAATTTAAGGGGAGATGTTCGTGACAGATATCTAAATATGTTAATTAATACACAGAATAATTGAATATGATACAACTGATCAGAGGTTGACCCCTGGATGGCTGACGACAGAAAGAAATAATTACCTTAAAGATATTATAGCTCTGGTACCAGTAGTTAGCGTAATGGCTATGTTGCTGGATTCCCATGTAGTTGACCCCGGTTCGAGTCCTGGACCTGGTGGCTTAAAACTCATGCTGGGCACATGTGCGTGAGTGCCCAAGATCCCAAGAGGAGAATGGAGGAGAAGGGATTGTGGCGTGGCCATCCCCCATGGGGGGGG